TTGTCCTTTTTTTTAAATGCGGCCAAGTAGGCCTGGTTTGATTAGATATATGCTTAGTGCTTCAAAGGTTTAAAGTCATGTAGGGGGTTCAGTACAGTCATGTGATTGTTGCAATTTAGTGAGGATTGGAGTGTTGTTTGGTCTGTGTTGCTGGTAATGTGTTCCATAAAGTATTGAATAGGGCGCTCTAAATGTAAATGTCACACGGGAATAATACGTGTTCGGGCGTTTCTTTTTAAGTTGCAGTGGGGGTATTTACCGGTTTGGTGGTTTTTTTAATTAGGTGTAGGTGAGAGCTTAACTTAGTGTGGCCTGTTTGTAGTTTGGTTATTACTCTGTCAATGTTTTTGGTTTTATGATGGATATGTTTTTTTGAGTGGCGTTTTAGTTTGCAATCATATTTCTGATTGTTATTTTGCCGCTATTTTCCTTTGAGATACTTTTAACTTCTTTTTTTTTATTTTGGTAGGTTGATGCTTGGGATGCTTACTTCTTCTAATTTTAGTGCTGATTTGGCTGCTTTGTCTACATGTTCGTTGCCAAACACCCCAACGTGGGCAGGGATCCAAACTATTTCTATGTCTTTACCTAGTTTACGTAGATTGTTGGCGCTTTTATCTGTTGTATTAGTTTGGGGCGTTTTTTGTGGTTTTGTTTTTATGGCCTGGAGCCCACTTAATGAGCCGGGATGCGCATGAATCACGGTCGTCAAAACGAATATATTTACCAATTATATGAAGTCAATTAGCCAGTTCAAGAGACAATACCCTGGTGTCATTACGTCCCATGCCTCTGGTTCACGGTTCGTCTGATCTCCCGTCATAAAACCACGATGTTTATTTACCTGGAGCCCCAGACAGCGCTGACTTCCCTGTGTGCAAGTACGTACATGGCAATAAATGGTTTGACAGTTGTTTGACGGAATCCCCCCCCCCCCCCCCTCCTTCTACCTTTTATGGCATATTTCAAAATTCCAAACTTGACCTGTTTTGTATATATGTATATATTATTATGTTAATATGGACAATGGTAAAATTCATAATCACAGTTCAAGGGCTGTTCACAAATTATGTAAATCTGCTTCGTGATGAATGAAGCATGGTAATAAATGTATGCATCTGAGTCATTTGTTCTGTATTCTTTGATGAGAATGAGTTTTCTTATATTAATGATGATTACTCTCACAGAATATTTGATAAGAGGATAGGACTTTCAGTTGAGAATAGTTATGCAAAAGTATAGGCGGTCTGTGCACATGTGGTAAAACTGATATATCATTGACATGATAATCGGGACTTGGAAATCATAGTCTCTCATTATATGACATAAATACACGTCTATAAGGACGCCCGACTTGTTCACGAAGCGTAATTTCAGGTTATCTGAAATCTGTCGGTTTGGAATTATTATTTTTTGTTTGTAATAAGGATAACAAAAACATGTTTTGTATTCTATTGAAGCATTCATAAATAATTCAGTGTTCGTTTCCCGCGGTTAAAGAGTTTAAACTGATTGCAAACTGATTTTAAAATATATGGTTCTGTCTGTAGTACGTCCTGATGTCATAATATTATGTCGTAAACATGTTAAATAAAACAATTATTGATAACTTCCTGAATTCCAATTGTTCAATGAACAGAATTATTCACAGCTCTGGCCTGAGACAACAATCAATTAGATGTTACTAAAGATTGTCCATTCTATGATCTTAGGCACATGTCGGCGCACTTACATGTGAGCCGTCTAGACGACCGTCTGTTTTGTCATTAAATGGCAGCTGCCATCCAGCCGAATACTTAATCTTGAGACCTATTAGGGTCTTGTCGAGTCAAGTGCGGGTCTCTCTCCCACCTTAGGGACTGAGACTGTAAAAGCCCCTCGCTACACAGACAAGTAGTGAATGTTTGAGATAAATATATTATTATATAGTTTAAACTCAATAAATAACTGTTGTTATTGTCCAAATTACTGATAAAACATATTTTAACTTTTTCCTTCTAACCATATTTCCAAACCATTCCAAACCATTCCAAGCCATTCCAAACATTTCCAATTTTGGAAATATGCTTGGAAATGTTGCCATCCCAATTTTGGATTTTTTGGAAAGATCGATCTTTCCAAGCTTTGGAAATGTTGGAATGAGCGATCTTTCCAAAGAAATCCAACGATCATTCCAAATTGGAATGGACGCTATTTGGTCTTGTGTTAGTTGATATGGGTTATGATACCAAGGAGTTTAGAGGAGAGTCGTTTCTTAAGAATACATACAGTATGTATTTGATGGTATATATAAAGATTGCAACGTATTTATCTATGTCCAAAATGGCTAATGCACAAGTTCGCGTGACCATAGTTGATACCGTGCGAGGTGGTCAGCACTTGTTTAATGAGGGATTCAAGTTTCGTTGTAAGAAAACGGTCCGTGAGAAGAAGTATTGGAACTGCGTTGTTGCTGCCTGCAGAGCGTCGGTGATCACTGAAAACGGCATTCTTCAAGCGGCTTTGCAGGTAAGAAAATAATGCACATGATCAGGATGATAATAATCTTAAAGACATAGACTCAAAAGACTTTGCTTAACAAACTATTCAGTTATTTATTTTACTTAATATAATTACTTATTTTTAGATACCACAGGTATTTGTCACTTGTATGTATTTGTTTATAGTTAATATTAGTTAAAATGCAATTATTTAATTGTAGGTGAACCATACCCACTGAGATGGAAGTGGAATCTTTCAAGTCCAAGCTCATCCACCGTGCTAAGACGGAAACAACGCCGATTCCAACCATATACGGAGATGAGATTTCCAGACTTCGCCGCCACCACGACGTAGTTCCAGGTGGAAGGACGCCAATTGGGACCTGAGATCTGGAACCATTTTGGTAACCAAGGGCATCGCACTAATAATAACGTCGAGGGATGGAATCACAAACTCAACAAACTTGCCAGGATGTGCCATTTTTTAAGTTGTTACGCTATTTCAAAAAGAACAATCCAACGTAGAAGTCGCCATTCAACGAATTGGAGCCCACTGGTCAGCACCACCCAGAAAGAGAAGATACCGGCTGATTGACAACCGTCTTTAGGCTCTGAAAGACAATCTCGTCAACAACGTCATCGGCGACGTTGAGTACACAGATCACGTTGGTGACCTGATCCACTTGGAGTGAATGACAAATTTATTATAGAATGTATTTATGTATTTACCATTATATTTTAAGATATAAGTTATTGTTGTTTTTGTAGAAATCATAATGTACATCTATGAAATATTAAAGTATTAGAGTTATTAAATTTGTTAAATGTAAAGTACTTTTGTGCAACTATACTATACTTCAGCATCTAATAAATTACTACTGTAATTACGGTATACGCATTTCTGTGTTTTTCTTGTAATTTGAGAGTCCCGGTATGGCAATATCCCGTGTTTACTGCAGCGTGACCAGTCTTACTGTAGCTTCACGAAAGCGAAGAGAGTTTAGAGTTGATAATGGCTGGGTTTCGCTCTTCCGGCCCATAACCATTTAACTATTGTTAATGCTGATTGGTCAGGTGCAGTCATATGACATTACTTTGAAGACAATAACTAAAAGGAATCTGCGCACTCTATCTGCTGCTAATAGAATAAGCAGCTACAATAAAAAAAAATATTTACACATTATGATTTCATTATAATGTCTTACTTTCAACATATTATTGCATACAATAACGTAAGTAATAAGGATATATTACTTCATTCTTCTCAACTTGATAATGTTTTTTTCACACAAATATTCTAACCGAAACTTATAGTAATTGTCTTGTTTTTAACAGTCATCTGCGTGAGTTTAAACACAGGCATATCTATAAATAGTTTGTCTGTGTGTCAGTTTCTGTTTGATAACCATGTACATGTACTAGTATTTACACGGATGTATTATATACATAACCACCTCCACAATAGCTAGACGTGAGAAACTGTTGAGACTGGATATCAGCTTGACATGTATCTCTTAGATTCGTCTAAGAATGTGTTGATCATTTGGGAGTCACCCGTTGCATTCACACGAACACAGTTTATCAGGACGATATAAACATATATGGGGATTATAACGTGTACTTGACGAAAAAATATAAGCGTGACATGTAGTTTATGTCCGTTGATACTAACATCCTCTAAAACAGTTAATTAAAACGAACTTTTATGTAGAATATGTTCCAAACAATCAATAAACGTCATCAGTAAAATGTATCATGATGTGTTCTTTCCTCTCAGTCTGAGGGCATTTGTTTATAAGTTAGTGTCACAACGGAGGAATGTGTGTTAATGTTTGCTGTTTGCCCTATGTTCACACAGCAATGATTCCTTGTTAAGTGCAAGTATTATATCCGCTATGTTAACTTTATCTGGTCCCTCAAATTTTAAACTTTGCCAACCATCTGTTGTTATTTATGAACAAGTAAATGTGCATCAATAAGACTTGCAAGGGTCTTCTTCTTATTTTGTTTATTTTCACCTTAAAATAGATTCAAGGTTTAATCGTTGCGTTATATTCTATGGTTTTATAGCAATATTCACACTCAACAACTTCAATTCACCATGGATCCCATGTTACTATAATGTTGTACTTCCTTGTCACTGTACATGGCGGGAATAATGAGGTTAACCTGTTGCGAGATGGTGTGTGGTGAATAAACTTTTGCCTTTTCCTTGTTGAGAGAGGAGAGATTTCACTTACGCCTGAACATCCGAGGATACTATACTGCAAAACACACACGGTGTGTTGATATTAGAAATACTGTCTATGTAAATAGACTGTATGCACTTGTCGAAAGAGTGTATAGGGTTCTGTTTACCATGTTTAAGAGATATGATGACATGATAGTAAGAATTGTAAAGGTGGAATGGAAGCTCCAAATAAAGATAAAAAATGTATGTACGTATTTTGAAGTCAATTGAAAATCAAACAGCTTCCCTTTCAGCCATGTCCACAAATCATTTTAGTGTTAAAACTTCCTGGTTCACAAACATGGCGGGCGTGAGGTGGTTGATACTTACTGCGGCTGTGTCAGGGTGGTGGATTCAACTTATGCTGGGTAGGTAACGCTACGATATTTGAACTTGTGGGTAATCAATATGACACCAATTTAGTTATCCTTGGAAAATATGTATATGACACACATATTAATAACGCACAAGTTTACCTTAGCTGATACATGTATGTGTACAAGGTTTAATCGTCGACAAACGTGTCACTAAATTCAAATTCCCAGTGGGACAAACTATGATACTCAAATATATAATACTCACACTACGATATTTTTCTGAATGGATACTTAACATGTCTATTGTTTAATTATCTTTGACAAATTTGTATTGACCTTTTTCACACTTTCACCATCTTGGATCGGAAACGAGGCTAGGAGAGCATAGCTCCATGCGGTGTGAGTAGCATCATCTCATAGGGAACAGACAGCATGTTGTGCATTTCCCTGATGGGCATTCAAACAAACAAAAAATGGTATCCTCTGTATCTAATACAGAAGATATTTCACATTTAATCATGTGGTCCAACTAAAATATGCCTGTAATACACTGGATTTAGCACTTTGCTGTCAGGATCCCGGAAGTGAATCGAAAGGTGCATTTCGAGATACGTATTTCAGAAATAGATTGTTTTATCAAAACCTCGTCGGCATATAGGCACAATGTGACAGTACATTCAATGACAGAAGTTTTGTATCGTAAATGAACCGCATAACATGAAACAAGTCAGTGTACTTTTGCAACTTTGCTTGTCAATGCGTGGCTTGGCGAACTCGAGATCGTCGATCATGTGTATTTCACGTTTCATAGTGGTGTTTGCTGCACAACACACTATCGTTTTGCAATGAGTCCAGTTGACAAAAGACACTTTTTCTGCTATGATTTTCATCTTAACATACTACGATGTAAATGAAATTAGTTCACAAACAATCTCATTAAAATCAGGTCTTTGTTCTCGTTATCGCTAAACGAAGATCTGACGACATCCCACTAATGGTCACGTCAGAACGACTTTTCATCCAACCAATCAGAGCATCACTTACCAGATCATGAAAGTGACAGTGGGAATGTGTTTTCTAATCATGCAACCACCAAATATTTAACACTGGTATTCTGAACGACAGTTACCGGTTTTGTGATTATATCCAATCTTGGCCATCTATGAGCCATTCCAGATTGTTCTTCTTATCAGTTGTAATTTTTTTAACCGATAATATGTCAAAATATGTTTCGAAGCGTAGTCCCCAGTTTGAAACTACTGTCGTAAAGCTTTAGAAAGCTGCCTTCTGATTGGCTATTGTTGATTTCATGTCAGTCACTTCATTGGTTGGCCAAAATTCGTGAAAGGTCGTTCTGACGTGACCCGTGATGGGATGTCATCAGATCTTTGTTTAGCGGTAGCGAAAACTATGATCTGATTTTAATTAGATTGGTTCACAAAATAATTCGTGTGTCAAAATAAATATTCAGAATGGGCGATAACTCTATTACGTGTGTACAATGACAGATGATACTTTACGTGTTCTTCAAACATCACTTACTTTACTGATTATTGCACCGTGCACGACAAAAGTAATAATGTGTTAACTGTTTAAAATAAGTTAAAAGGAAATTAAATTTGATAAATCTAAATAATGCATGAAATTGAAGAAATATAAGAATTGATACAACCACCAACTCCTTGAACACCCTCGCCTAATCCTGTATGATGATAGGTAATTGTATATCAAAGGAAGCTACTAACACATTTATCCTGAATAGTTTGAAATTGTCTTGATCAGATATGAGTACAGATAAAATAACAAATCAACTTCAACTGATAATCAAGCCAAGATAAAATATATGTATCGGTACAAATCATGTTGATGGAACAATCTGGATTTCTATTTAACAAAGAAAAACAAACCAAAATTTTCATGTCTTTATTTCTCACAATATAAGTTTTCAAAACTTAACGTGGATCGGGTGTCTTTGTCAGTCAAAAGCACGTAATTATATTCCAGGAGCAAATAATTTTCTTGCTTGTAAACAAATGGTACAATGTGCTTTTTCAGTGTTCAGTATTGGCCATTTTGTTTTGTGAGTGAATAAGGCTATTCACTTCCTCGTCCTATTTAAGTGAATGTGACAGGAAGCACATTTGTTAATTGAATGAATATGGCTTTTCCCTTCCTCGTCCTTTGACAGGACGCACATTGTAACCAGTGTGGTACTGTCAGAAGAAAGCTCCTCCAGACATCCACCACCGGATACTAGTACTTCATTGTGTTGACTCGCTGGCCTGAAATGAATAATTCAATAATATTGTAATAATAATTCTACTTCAATAAAAAAAATTATTAACAATGCATATTCACCTTCTCTCAAACTATTGCTTATTTAGAAAACAACATTCTTCTGAAATAGAGAAATTAAAGGACAATTAATCAGTGTGTAACATTACATGCTACTTTAGAACAATCTTGAAGGCATCAATTCATCTGATATGTCTAAACCTCAAACAGAATATGCTGTGTTAACAGTAAACTCAACAGATACATCAATTTAATGACAGTGTACTACAGTTCTTTATATCAATGTCACACAGAAATTCACTCTTGTTTTAATGAAACACGTTTTGATATTTGTATTACAGTATGTATTTAATAATGAAATACTTTGTATAGTATGACCATGCTGAAAACATACTTTCGCTAGAGTGAAATAAATAAGATTCTTATTATAATCAGGTGAAATATCACGTTTTGTCACACCTACAGTCAATCTGCTTCATTGGCACTATGGTTTTCTGAGTAAGGTCATGAAGATCACAAAGAAAATATAAGACTTGAAATTATTTTGTTAAATGAAATGTTTATCTCTTCTTGTGGCTTACTAAACTTGATATCTTGACTTGAAAATATTAACTTTGTCAGATCACAAGATGAGATAAGTTCATGCTATCATCGTTATTTGACATGGAAATTTCTTCTATGTATTTATATTTTTTTATATTTCTCGTTTTGATTGAATTATAATAATTATCAAAATTATCACACCACTTGACTTGATTGATATAAACTAAAGTTCTAAAGATTGTTAACAATAGTAAAATATTACATCATAATTAATGATTATTGCAAAATGACACAGTAAGCACAGCTATATTCTTACATATAAATTGATATGATTAATAATCAATAATGCATGGCAATTACTTGCACAAAAGAAATCATTTTGTTTTAAAAGTTTCAAAACATTTTTGTGGACATAAAACCAGATGGGTTTTACAATTAAAAAAGGGAATACATGAGTTATGATTGCAATACACATGGGAATTAAAAATAATTCTGTCTATACTTTAAGTTTATAGTAATGTCAATATCAATTTATGCATTTGAAATATTTGAATACAAACTGGTAAAGTGTTATCTGTTTCTGTAAATTATATAAAAATCACATGTAGAGTGAACATTTACTGGCCATTAATTAGTTGGGTTTTTGTTCATTTCATGACATGAATAATTTGGTACAGTAAAGTAAATATCATTTTGGGAGAAATATTGTTTACAAAATTGCAGATCAAACTGTACTTTTCTTCAAATATTTACACACCCTTTATGTTATAATTCAGTTGAAATATTACACCTCATGCTATCTCATCTGTCAACATTGACAATCAAAATAACAACTGTTCACAATCACAACAGCACAAGAAGATCTAGAGATCTAATATTTTATTGGAATGCATTTGAGTCTGTTATAATTTACATCAAATACGCAACTGATGCAAAATAGTTAGTTTCTGACATAGATTTGGTCGAAAGGTCAATATATCGACTTCAAATACAACCCACAAAGTTATTTAAACACACAATAAATAGTTTGGCTTAATGGTGTGTAAACAATGAATTATCAAGATCTCAGTAGCATTTGCATTAAGTCTGTTCAGCTACCATAAACTGCACTGGGAGTTACCAGGTGGTCATGGATATTTTAAATTGAAACCACAACAAAACGGCCAGACTCAAATTTATATCGGTAAGGAGACCAGATAACAGTAGTATAGTTTGTCATTGGTAAAAATAAGAATAATGTTCAATACTTACGATAAATGTACCGGGATGGTTAAATTGTCAGATTTTACCAATTGCGTGCCTTGTTGACATCTCCATGTGTTTCATGTGCTATCCAGCCTTCGCCTTCTGCTCTCCAAGCCTCGCATTCAAACCGGAAGTAGCGAAGTGTGAAAAAGATAGTTAGGCTTTACAAACATGTATGAAAGGTAAGCAGGGCTTGCCTTACTGACACATGTACGTCCATTACCTCGACAAACATGTCACCACACTGCCATGTACAGTAAGACGAATTGATGTTTGTATCTGGAGTTGGTGCTACCAAAAACCTATCCTTGTTGACAGCTCATTGTAACAATCAACGTTAAGAGCTACAAGTAAACTATTAAACGTTTTTCAGGAACTAATAAATATTTTGATATCAACGTATTTGTGTGTGTGTGTCAGGAAGAATATTGTCATCAAATCAACTCAACTTGGACAATGTTAGGGACAGACAACCAGAAGAAATAGTTATCAATATCCCCCACCCATTTAGATATTATGGTTGTTTGTAAATTATTATAGCACTAAGCAGTACTCCAGCTGTATTACGGCAGCTTGAAAAAAGTCAGTCCAGTGATTGATAGTATGAGTAACGTTAGTTTTGCACTATGCTGAATACAGAGTCAAAGTACTTGATTGTCTCTAGAATAAAACCTTCAATTCTGGTCAATTTCTATAACAGTGTGGGTTATATAGTAGCACAGGGGCGAGGGTTGTTCAACGCTGGTTAACTCTTAAGAAGCAGTTACGTCAGTGTAAATTCTCCGTTATATTAAACGAAAGGATTATGTTGTTTCTGGAAGCATGGATGTCTTTAGCGGTTGGTTAAATGCCCGTTACACTTAACATACCTTCCAACCTCCGTTAAATACTTTTTAACACCTCAGTTATCTTTTAAACAGACTGTTGGCTAAATACACACTTGGTATGTAACTATACATAAAGAAAAA